TGGAAACTGCCAGTACGGAAAATGAGCAGGGGTTGTGCGACACTCTCTGCTCGGACGTGCGCGCAATGGTACGATACGGGGTTCGTGTGGTAGCTCCGTTACCAGTGATTATGATGCGTTTTAGCGCAATGGCAAAAAGGGGCCCTTAGAGGTCAAACGGCGGCGAATGGCATGGCGGCGAGTGGTGCATATACACACGTCACGCATGCACTATCTCCCAGGTCTTATAGCTGACGGGTGACTCGAGGGGGTGGCCCCAAGGGTCTGGCCCAGAATTTCGCAAGGGGTTGGAGCCCAAGAAGGCCTCCCAAGATGGCGCAAGATGGGCTAAATTGGACTGGCATGGCGTCCGACGCGCCTCCAAATAGCCGAGAATGCTCCAAGGAGCTACGAAGCCTTGCAGTGAAGCTTCCCGAAAAGCCGGGACCCTTCAAAAACCGATTATGTTTTACTGATTTGGGGCTCTTCGCCTCTTTGTCGCGTATTATGGGTTTCTGAGGCCTCACGGTGTCCCCAAGATCGCCCAAGATCTCCCAAATAAAGACATTGGTAAGCCCGTCCGCCCTGGAGGCCCCCTAGTGAACTCGAGGTAGCATCATGAGGATCCCGAGCTCCAGAAGACCCCAAAAGAAGATTTCGGGCCCCGACAGGGCGCCTTAATTTCTGACCCTCCCGTGTTCCAGTGATGTTCTCCTAAATGACCCCAGGAGGACACGGACACGGACACGAGCCTGCATCATACACCGCGCGGGTGCAGCATGGTGGGGCCGAAGTGTCCAATTAGCCACAATGCACTCTAAGAAAAGCCTGAAGGAGCCCATGGGCCCACAAGAGCCAGAAGGGCTTTCAAAACAGTCTCCAAGAGAGCCCCGAGAGCTCCAAGAGCTCCCCTCTCGTCTTCCGGCGGACAACTCCGCGAAGGCAACTCTGGTTGACTCCTGACTTCTTCGCGCGTTTCCGCTGAGGTGAAAAATCGAAGGTCTGCCATAAGAAAGGCCGTCGCGGCGCCACTACTGGAGGCTGCTCGGCCGACAGAAGCGAGATGGGAGCGTACAGGCGACAGGGCGGCTGCCCCGCGTCTCTGGCTCACGCATGTTCCTCCACTCAGTGGATCCGTGGAAGCTCCACTCTGGCGGCTCACTCCGTCGATCCACTCCGTGGATCGAGGCAACTGATCCGTGGATCGCATCAAGCCGCGCTGGTCGGGACGCGCGGGCCGCGAAAAACGCGGTGGGCCCCCGGCAGGAGCGCAGCGGAAGTCCGGCGGCCTGGGCCGTGCAGGGAGGATGGGCGTGCGAGGAAGAAAAACAGGAGGAAGGCTGTCTTACCAGTCTATGGTAGGGCGAGGGGGGGGGGGCTGCCGAGCATCCGCACCAGCGATTACCCGGAGCCCCTCATGGGGCCTGACGTCGGCCTCGGGACAGTCCAAGGAGGCTCCCTCAACGGCCAAGGAGAGCCTCCAGGGGGCCCTAACCAGCCCCAAGATGGAGCCAAGTCGGCCTGAAGACAGCCCAGGGCCCAAGACTGTCGAATAGAGCCCCTGTAAGCCCAAGAGCTTTTCAAGAGACAAGAATCCCACCACTCCTCTCTGCGTGAGTGGCTTAGAGCGTTTTTCCTCTTCCAAATTCCCTTCCTCACATACAGGGAGGGGCTTATCATTGTTCCCTGTTTATGTGCACCCTTTCCCCCAGGCGACGGCAGCCAACAAGGAACCACGCGGCCCCTCCACCATCCCTGCCAGAAAAAAATACGCACTCTGCCTCCACATTTGGAGCATGCGCGGCCAACCCGATGCGCCCGCCCCCCCCCCCTCCACCATTCCTTTCAACATACGGTGCAAAGTACACTTTGGGGCAAAGCCTTGAGTCATATTCGTGAAGCCCGCGAGCATGTTGTATTGTTTTTGACAGGGACAGCGGGGGTGACAGCATATTGCCTGCAATGCGCAGGGCAACCATCTCAAACAAAAACTATACAAAATGCATCTCGCGGCTACATCTGGATCATGCGCGGCCACCCCGCGATCACTGTCAAAAGGTTTTTGGCAGGGACGGCGGGGGTGGTGGCGTATGGCCTGCTGTGCGCAGGCCCACCAGACACAATGATGGGCATTGCTTTTCGACAAGGTTGGCGGGGGCCGACATGTTCCACGATGTGTGCTGTCTTATGTGTTGGGAGGGCGGATGAAAGTGAGCTAGACGGCTTGTTATCGGGGTGTCTTGACCCAACCTCCTACCCCCTACCCTGAACCTAAAAAGGAGAGAGTCATGACCCATTGGAGCGTTTTTTCTATCACTGAATCTCACTCTTCGCGACTGGCACAATAATGTGGAGCAGAAGATCGCCAGGCAAACCAGAATCGCTAAACAAGACACCTGCCAAGGCAAGCTCATGCGATAAACTGCAGCCTGAGAGGAAAAGAGATGACGATCCGAGGGTGACAAAGACAGACGGGGAAGGGGAGGGGGACGGGAAGAGGAGAGGGAACAAGAGGAGACAACAAACACACACACACACACACACACTGGAGCGTCCAAGACGGCCTCGGCGAGAAGGCACATATCACGTACTTGACTTAGATATTGGGCCCATATTGGCCTCCTGGGAAGGGGGCCCTAAGTAAGCCCCCGCCCTTATTGAGTTCGATCCCCTCAAAGATGGCCCCCAGGATGGCACCCAAGGCCCCAAAAAGTGCCCTAATAGGGCGCCAAGAAGCGCCAAGGCAGCCTCAAGAGGTCCGCACGAGGCCCCCAGGAGACCCCAAGTGGTTCCCCCGAGGCACCCAAGACGCTCCAAAAGGCCCCCCGGACCGCCAACAGGCCCCCAAGAGGCCCCAAGAGGGCTCAAAGAAGCTCGCAAAAGACATCCGAGGAGACTCCGAGACACATCCGAAAGGCCTCTGGCCTTTCTGCTCGCAGTCCTCCTTCTCCTCCTCCTCCTCCTCCTCCTCCTCCTCCTCCTCCTCCTCATCATCATCATCATCATCATCATCATCATCATCATCATCATCATCATCATCATCATCATCATCATCATCATCATCATCATCATCATCATCATCATCATCATCATCATCATCATCATCATCATCATCATCATCATCATCATCATCATCATCATCATCATCATCATCATCATCATCATCATCATCATCATCATCATCATCATCATCATCATCATCATCATCATCATCATCATCATCATCATCATCATCATCATCATCCTCATCCTCATCCTCATCCTCATCCTCATCCTCATCATCATCAGCATCAGCATCAGCATCAGCATCACCAACACCATTTCCACCACATCCACCACCATCAACATCATCATCATCAGCATCATCATCATCACCCTCATCACCCTCATCACCCTCATCCTCATCCTCATCCTCTTCATCTTCATCTTCATCATCCGTCTGTTCATCCTCCTCCCTCCTCCCCGTCCCCCTCCCCTTCCCCCTCCTCCTCAGCCTCCTCCTCCTCCTCCTTCTCCTCTTCCTCCTCTTCCGTCCATTCATCATCCTCCCTCCTCCCCGTCCCCCTCCCCTTCCCCGTCCTCCTCCTCACCCTTGTCTTCCTCCTCCTCCTCCTCCTGCTCCAAGTCCTCCTCCAGACCCCGCCCTCGGGGTATGACGAATTCCCCAACCCTTTACTCCACTTCATACTCCGGCACATCCCTGATCAGGGCAACTCGCCTGGGCATCGTTTCTGAATGGGCTGGTGGGTGTACTTTTTTTGGTCGCGGCCACGAGACAGGGGTCAGGCGACGAAAGCAAAGTCCGGGGCACGAACAAGGCAAATTAGCTACAACAGGCACAGGCCGGCCGGCCCGCTCACAAAGCAGCCGCGAAGCTGAAGGGGAGCTGACGGCAGGGGTAACCTGAGAGCTCGAGCACGCGCACAGACAAAATGTCATGGAATTCGGTGCCTGCCACAATATGAGACGTGAACCAGGATAACCAAGTCCGTCAATCTAAGTGGGGGCAAGTGGGAGGCCGGTGGAGTGAGTCGCCGGTGGGGCGCCAGGCTCCGAACGCCATGACGACGTGAGCTAGCCAGGTGGGCTGAGCTGTCGCAAACCGTGATGTCACGCAACTGGGAAAAGCTGATGGTGAGCCTGGGGTGCTGTAGCTGCTGCGGAAGGCTGAACCACTCCGTGGCGATACCAACACCCGTCAGACCACCCCACAGTGCAAGGGGGAACCAAGCGACTGTGACCACGCAGTGCGTGCCGGCACGGCGTCAGGCCACTGAGTGAGGGGGGGGACCAGCTGGCGTGGTGAGCATCGCCAGCGGGGAAGAGTAAGGGGAGCTGCACTGGTTGTAGTGTTGCCTTCTGAAGTGTGCTGTTGTCTCAGGGCGGTGTGCCTGGGGGGGGCTGCACAGTGGAAGACAAGAGGGCTGTCGGACACAAAGTCAGGCCAAGCCCGCCGCTAACACTTCCACCCAGGCCCCTGGAACGTCAACGAACACCACGTGGTCCTCCAGGGTCGCAGCTGACCGCCGCTGGGAGTGAAAAAACAGTCCACGTACAGCGGTGGGCGTGGGCGGCCCAGGGAGGGGGGCGACACCACCAACGTCGGACAGTACGTCGGCGGTCCCCGGGGCCAAGAGCGGGGGACACCCGCCAGGCCCCCGAGGAGAGAGGCGGGGGGAAAGCCGCCCCTCTCCTCGGTCAGGCCCCCGCACCCGTGGGATAGGGGAAGTGGTTGGTCCTCCAGGGTCGCAGCTGATCGCCGCTCAGGTCAGTGAAATATTGGGTGGGTCCTTCGAAGGTTATGGCGCCGAGGGACGGGTGGGAGCCTCTCCGCGGTCCTCGGGCTGCGCTGAGTGCTGGCCCGTTCCTGAGAGCCACATGACGACCCCACATGGTTCCGACGAGGCTCCAGACCGTCAAAGGAGGGCCCAAGACTGGTGGAGTTGATCGCAGGCGGCTAGATGGGAGAAACTGCACAGCACCTGACATACCAATATCAAAAAGGACATACCGCTCAAGTCCAGAATGTTGACCGTGTTGCCGTTGACGTGCGCTACCGCCTGCTGTCTTCTCTCCTCCCCTTCCACTGATGCCCATCGCCGAATTCGATGTGCGAGCATTCTAACGGTGACCATCCCTTCCCCTCCACTCCTCATCTACCTCCCGTTTTCCCGTCCTCCTCACCAGCACGGCACGGCAAATGAAGGTCAATGGATCAATAAACCCGACCTGGCACAGGTGGAAAAGATAGGAGGCAGCAGACCAAGAGATGATCAGACGGGGAGTCTCAACACGGCAGTCCCCATACAAGCCCGCAGCACCGGCCCCAGACCCACTGTCAGGACGATCCCCGTCCACCGCCTTCTCCTCCTCCTCCTCCTCCTCCTCCTCAGTCCACCAGTACATCAATCCACCATCTGCACTCACGTGACCCTTCCTCGACCTCTACGACCTAGCGTACCACATTGTGCAACGGCTAACACGGATGGAGGGCGGTTCATCTTACGAAACGGGGCGCTCGCATGAGACTTCTGCGAAGCATGCGTCCACGACTTCGACATCCTGCATCGCTCAGACGAATGTTGGGCATGTTCTTCTCATGATGAAGTTATGATTGGGCCTCCGTGAAGGGCTGTCGCGTGGGACTTCCGCGGAGCACACGCCCTCGTTTGACATCCTGCAACCCTTAGACGGATGGAGGGCACGGAGGAGGAGGAGGAGGAGTAGGAGCAGGAGGAGGAGGAGGAGGTGCTTCTCAAAATGGGGCTACCCAGGACGTTCTGCAAATGGAGGAGAGTCCCTTTGCAACAGGCGCCCTCGTCCGACAGGCGGACCGACCGGCCGCTCGTTATTCAAGGGGGGCGCCCGCCGCGGAAGCGAAAACGTGCATGGATTTGTGAGGGGGGGGAGGGCGGGTGGTTTCCAAGATGTCGTTCTCGCCCCAGCTCGGCGCACACTCGTACCAAAATGTTCCAGCAGTTCCACGGACGGAGGGCGGGCGGTGTTCAGAGTGCTGCTCTCGCTCCGGCGCCGCGCACATTGGCCTTAACAGTTTGCAAGTGGTTCTAACAGTTTGCAGGTGGCTCTCGCCTGAGTGCCACGAAAGCTTGCAACAAACTCATGGTTTCGCACGGTTGAAGTCCCAATAATGGTTTCCTGGCACGAATTAGGACGGTCAGGGCGCAACTGCCAAGCTGACTCGCGATGTTGGAATCCCGAGTACGGCCTTCTGCCACGACTGTAGACTGTCAGGACGCAAAAACCTCGAGACTTCTAGACGCTGAAGCCAAAGGGATGGTGCTCTGGCACGATTTCAGAAGGACGCAACAGCCACGTTGATTCGCGACGTTGCCGTCCCAGGAATGGTGTTTCGGTGCGACCGAGGATTCTCAAGCGCTTGTCTTCGAATGGGACATTTTACATAACGAAACAAATTCTTGCAGGGCCCTACGAAAAGGACACTTGGAATGAGGGTTTATGGAAACATCGTGTTTCAACACGATGGGGATCCCCAAACGATGATTTCAGAATGGGAAAGTCCCCACAATGATAATATATGTTTGCAGAACCCTTTCAAGAGGAAACTTGGAAGCAGGGTGTATTGCAACATCGTTGACGCGTCTTGGGTTCACACTTCTCCTCCTCCTCATCCTCCTCCTCCCCCTCCTCCTCCTCGGCGTTGGGTAACTCTCGAAACCCATCTTGGCATCGTTCGACGCAGCCCGACCCCGATGGCAAGGAGCCCGACCCTACGGGCGCTGGTGTCTCTTCCCTGTCCGTGCGCTTGCTCAGTTCGCTGGCGTCGGCCGGTAATGCCGAGAGCTTGCCTCGACGCACTGTCCGCTGGCGTCGGTCGCGGGCTAATTCGCAATGGCAAGAGTGAGAAAATCCCTACGGCAGGTTCGTGTCGTGCCGACCCCAGCGTTGGTTTTTGACACTGCAGGGATCGTTCAACCTTGAACGATCGGCCGCTGCCGCAACGTCCGATCGTTCCACATCGAACGATTCTGGGTCGCCCGCGGCGTTCAAGGTTGAACGCCCGCGCTGGGGTCGCCGCTGGTCGACACGACGCGAACCTAACGTACACGAACGACGACCATTCCAAGGGGGGCCGAGGGCGAGCTCTCGGCACGTCCGGCTGGGCCCGCGCGCCGTGCGCGGTCTCGGTCTTCTCGGCAGCGGCGTCGAGGCGGAGACCCTGGAGCTGCCAAGGTCCAGCAGATGTGTGGAAGCGCCTCGTCTCTCGGGCGCACTATCGCTTGGAGGCGGGGGCATCCTCTCGATCTCTGCTTTCTTTCCAACGCCAAGGGCAGTTGTCAAGAAGGCAGCGACACTCCACACGGCCCGCCGGCCTTTGGTTTGGTCACGGAGAGCGCGCAGTTCACCTCGAGAGTTTTCCCGCCCACAGCGTGTACATCTGCTAGCGCCCTCTCGTCAGCGCGCCAGCTACCATCTCGAAAAGCCGAGCCCAGCAGTGGACAGCTTGCGGAATCGTGGCGTTCCCAGGTGTCTACGCCGAGCGTCGGCTCAGCATCCGAATTGGCGAGAGCAGAGGAGCGCATCCCATGCGCGGGCCTCCATGGGCGAGGCCATCTGCCCCGACAGCTCCGCTGAGGCCTTGCGAGAGCGGCCTGTGCTCCTCCTCCGCATCGACACGACGGCGACAGCTCTCGTCCGTAGGCAGCAGTTCCAACTAATGCACCATCCTTTTATGAAGGGGTCCCAGGGCACACAAATAAATACACACAAACAAAAAAATCCCCCATATTTTCCCATATGTTCTGGGCTTCTGTCTTCCCCCCTACTCCCTATAGTTTCCCATATCTTCTGGGTAATCGACGATGAATCGTGTCTGTGTGTTTTCTTCCCTCCTGATTTCACGCCGACGGCAGGTGTCCAACGCGCCAGCGTCGGTGTGATCAGGGAGCATTACCAGCCTGGAACATATCCCTATCCATATGCTGGGCATCTCCTCGCACGATACCAATCTTAGGGATTCCCTCATTTTTGAAGGCGAATCCCTAAGATTGTAATCGCCTTTTGGCGTGTCAATCTTAGGGATAGGGATACGTTCGAGGCTGGTCTCCAGGGCTCCAGGGCCGCAGAGGCCTCCCGGTCCTCACGAGCCTCTCACCGTGGGCGACCGCCCCGCCCCGCACAGGCGGCAGCGACACGCTCCCCCCCGGTCCTCTCCTGCGCCGCCGCGACGCGAGGCCTCCCCGTCGGCACAGGGGGCCCATGGAAGTATAGACCCGGGGCGGCATGATGGCACCCTGCCCCAGCCATTCTCGTGTGAAGGGGCCCTGGGACACACACACACACACACACACACACACACACACACACACACACACACACACAAAGAAATACACACAAATAGAAGGATTTCCCATATTTTCTTATATTTTCTGGGTTCCTGTCTTCCCCCCCACTGCCCACATTTTCCCATATTTTCTGGGGAATCGACGATTCACTGTGTCTGTGTGCTTTTTGTCCTCCTGAACGTGGAGCCTCCGCAGAGGGCCTTCGGACGGCGCCCTGCAACGACGCCCGGGAGCGTGGCAAAGAACCGGCGCGTGCACCGCGGGGCCTCCCGCAGCGCGGCACCGCTCCCGCAGCGCAGCCCCTGCTGCCCCCATCCAGTGCAGACGGGCAGCCGCGCGCGAGCGGCAGAGCGAGGCGCAGCACGCGCCCCCCTCTCCATCGGCTCCCACCCCCTCGTGTCGGAGCACGGGAGGTGTCGCCCGTCAGCAGAGGGGCTCCCGTAGAGGAAAAAGAACTATGCACATACACCGATTCTGGCCAGGCCCATCCTGAGCCCAGGATCAGTGCATACACGCCCGCTACTACCTTGGCCAGGAAGGTATATGCACCGATCCTGGGTCAGGACGGGCCTTGCCAGGATCGGTGCATGCGTATAGTTCTCTTCGCCCGATCCCGGGATGCGAGCGCACGGCTCGGTGACGCATGGCGGCGAGATGCACCCTGGAGCTGCCTCCCAGGCCACCAGGTCCGCGCCGCAGCGCCCGCACACGTCCCCATCGCTCTCCGAACCATCGGCCAGGCGCGAGTCTGCCCCCGACTGCCTCCTCGGCCGCCGGCAGCAGCGCGAGGGGCTGCACACGACGCGCGGCCACGCAGACGAGGAAGCGGGCCAGCAAGCCCATCGGTCCGCAGCAGAGGAAAAAGAGGGCTCCTCCTATATCTCAAGGATCGCACGGGCGCCCACCGCAGTGTACCAGCCGCTGTGGGCGGCCACGGCTCCAGCGCGAGACCGGTCCCCGCGGTTCGGCAGAGGCAGACCGCCTTGACGGGGGCCTCTTCCAGCCTGCGCCGCAGCCGGGGACGCGGCAGCTGTGCACCATCGTGCAGAGGAAGAGCTGCCCATCCTTGCGTGCAACCGGGTGTGCCCCTAGAGACCTCCTCGATGGGGTCCGAGTAGATGGGGTCGGAGGATCTCGCCGCATCGCCAATGCATCGCCGATACATCGGCCATGCTCTGGCTGTGATATGGATGGCGCGCGCGGCGCGACGATCTTTTGGGCGAAAGAGAGCGCTGCTCAATCTATCTGCGTAGCTCTAAGGCCAAGGGCCCTAGTTCGAAACAAAACGGCAGCGGCACGAGCGGGCGTGAGGGATAGAGCGGGGATGCAGGAGGGGCACGGGGAGTGAGCGGGAATCACACTCCTCCTGATTGACGCTCGCGGCGCCGTCGAGCGGCAATCATTGATTGCAGCTCACTTCATTAATCAGAGCGCTCTCAAAACAAACACAGGCAAACGGCCCTGTCGGCATGCTATCCGGCTGCCCCGGGGCATTTAACGGGTGCTGCTACACGCACCGGCGAGAAAGACATAAATTCTCAAAACGAACAGCTGCGCGAGTCCGATCGCTATGCGACAAAACTCAAATAGCGCTGTCTTATCAAGATAAAATCTCAATAGTGTGGTCGTCACCACATAAAAAAAGGAATCTGTGCACACTGAATGAAGCTTCGAACAATGCGGACTAGCGTAGTATGCCACAGGGTGTGGCGCCAAATGTAAAAAAAAACAAGCTAGTAAGACAATTCGGA